AGAGAGAGAGAGAGAGAGAGAGAGCGAGCGCGAGCGAGCAGAAGGACAAAGACAGAGAGATGAGAAACTAAGATCTAAACTGAGCTATTTTACATAGGTGATTAATACACTTTATACTCAAAATACATACTCTGTTCTGATGAGCCTCCAACTTGATAAAGGAACATTTCCTGAGATCTCCTCCCATATCAGCCAGTGTTTGTGGAGCAGTTTGGTTGTCACGGTCGTGCGCAGCAAGAGTGCGTACAAGTTGTTGAGCAGCCCATTGCCTATGCTGTGAGGACAGCCTGGAGGAGAGGCAGCAGGCTGCCAGGGCATTAGCCAGCTCCAGAGGGCCTACAGCAGAAGGATCATAGGAAGGATGGGCATACAATTGGGCAATTAAACCTGCTTAAACAAAACAATGAAATGATGCCCAGGTGAGAGCTGGTGGTGATGAACAAACAAAAATGGGTTAACCCATTTCTTCTAAGAATTAGCACTTTTGCAAGCAATCATATCACAAAGATATACATATAAGAGATAAAGCATTTACTTCATATTAAATTCTATAATGTCTCAATTGACTACAAGTAAACATTTCCTTATACATCAATAAATAATCCTTGCTCTAAGAACTCAGTAGGCTAGAAATACAGTAGGAATAATTTTAATGCTCATGCAGAGATAGCATGCCCTTAGAAATAACAGTTTGGCTTTCACTGCTCAGAGAACTTGGGAATTGGAGTTGTAGCTTGGTAGGAGAGTACATGCTTAGCATGCTTGATTTCTCCCGGGTTCAATCACATGGGGGGAAGAAAAAAGATTTAAACAGTCCAGTCAAGGGACTGAGCTGATGGATCCAAAAGCCCATCTCTTTGGCCAAATAGCCTGATGAAGAGAAGGGTAGAAGCCAGATGCATTGGCACACATCCGTAATCCCAGCTATTCAGAGGGCTGAGACAGGAGGATTACAAATCTGAGACCAGCCCAGGTGATTTAAGTGAGACCCTTTCTCAAAAAAAGAAAAAAGGCAGGATGCAGGCTGTGGACATAGTAAGTGGTGCAGCACTTGCCTAGCATGTGCAAAGCTCTGGTTTTGATCCCCAGCACCTCCCCCCCTCCAAAAACATAAGAGAGAGAGGAAGAAGATAGCCACTGATTACATAGTGGTGTTTAAAATTATAATTATTCTATAACACTGATTTTATCTAAATTTTAATTAAAGAAATCTACCAGGATTATTATATATTGTGAGTCAAAATACAATCTATATACTAATTTGGCGTATTTTTAATACTTCCGTACACAGTGAAAAAGTATCCATGTACTTTTTTATGTTCTAAACTTAAGAAGCTCACATTTTACTTATTATAATATCACATATAACAATGCAAAAAATACATTTTTTAAAAAAACATGAATTGAGTTGATTAGAAAACTTTATTTAAGTAGTATAAAACCTACCTTTCTTTTCAACTTCTGACTTATCATAGTTAGGTCTCAGTTTGGCCCCTTTGTCTGCTAGTAATGCCACAAGGGCCTGTGTTACAACAAAGTTTGGAGAGGTTACAAGCTTATTCTCTTCAGCAATTCCTCGGAGAAAGCTTGGTAGAAACTTTCTCTGAATTGGATCATCGACTGTGGTTAGATTTACACCTGTTGCAGCAGAAATCAAGTTCTGAAGAAGCAATTAGAACAAACAGGCTTAATTTTTACATATAATTTAGGAACAAAAATATTTCAAATAAATGTTTCTCCAAGAATCAGAGGGAAATAAGCTATGCAGTAGGATAAATACTGAAGTAAACTTACCTGTGTACACAACTGCACCAGCAGTTTTGCAGCACTAGGAGTGTTTGATGCCAGACATCCCACTGCTGTGCTCAGATAGGCGAGGCAAGAAATAGGTTTGTTGGTCTTGCTGTGACTGCCTCGTGAACGTTCTGAGGTGCCTGCTGTAGCTGAAGGGCTGGTAGAGAGGCCAGCTCTTCCTGCTGCAGCCAAGCACATTAATCGAACCAGTGTTCGGATATCTGTTAGCCCCAGAGACTCAAGACCAGCAGCCAGACTACAACTCGAACCACTGCCAGGAAAGGAAAACACTTCAAATGGATAAAGAAAATAGATTCTTAAGGGACTATCTGGATCCCCACATACCATCCACAGCATCAAAAACCAGAATAAAATGAAAGTTATGCTATTGCATCTTAGTAAATGTCAAAAATACTATGCAAGCTAAACTTTCTCTTATTTCAATAAATACTGGTGTACACTTTAAGTATCACCAATTACCAGAGAATAACATGTAGGAATTTTCATGTCGCATGAATTTTCACAGTGTGAGTAATCCCCTGTAACTACTCTCCAGCTCAACAAACATTAATAGCAGCACCTCAAAAGCCGCTTTGGGATCTTGTCAGTCACCAAAACCCTCAAATGTTACCACATTTGACTTTTTTTTTTTTGGTACTGGGAGCTCTAGGGTGCTCTACCACTAAGCTACACCTCTGGTCCTTCTTATTTTTGAGACATGTTTCCCTAAATTGCCTAAACTGGCCTCAAAATTGTGATCTTCCGGCTCAGCCTCCAGAATCACTGGGATTACAAGTGTGTGCCACCAACCCTGGCCACACTGACTTCTAAAGCCATAAATTACTTTTATCTGCTTT